CAGGTTTTTAAGCCTTATGTGCATATGATCTGGAAAATGAGAAGTTTGAGGCGCTGAAAGCAAACCTCCAAAAATGCCCTGACAGCAGCTGGAAGAAGCTTTTCTAAACAGCCAGACAGATTTCATTGAAGGCTTTGTAGAACATTTTGGCCTCTGCATCATCCAGACAAGAACACAAGATGACTTAAGGAGTGTGATTGGTGACAGCAGCATGATGTCCAAACTGCCTGATGTAGGAAGCTGAACTGAGACAGATGTTGAAAAACAAAAACAGCCTCGTATCCTGTATGCAAGGAAGATTTTTGGCCGTACCTCCAAGGAAGTCAGAGTAGAAACACAGATGAAGCCCTTTGCAGTTCCAACAGTTCTTCAAATGAAGCAAACAAGAACAGCAACACCTGTGGTAACACCGAAACAGACCCACTACATTCATTTCCAAACGAAGAGCCTGGCCTTCTGCTCAGACATGTTGCTGTATGGTAAAGTCATGCTTGATTGACATCTGTTTGAAAGGATTATCCCCCACAGTCAAAATTACACCAGAATCTCAGTTATTTAACCTGTTGCAAACAGTGCTTTTAAAGAGATGTCAATGTACAGTTGCCAGTCAGTTAGTTCTGAACTATTGGATGGATTACCATCAATTTGTAACATAAAATCATGCATGAAAACTGAAATAAAAAGATTACATGCTTGATCTTCTTTTTGTTACAACAGGAGCAATTCAACATGCTCAAACATTACATAAATGTTAATATGTTTATAGGGCTTTTGGGGCATTATACGTTAGTATACCCTCCTGCAAATCATTTAAACGTCAAGCGATTGAAAGTTGTATCACCTTACAATCGTTGCATTTCGTTTTAGTATTTGCTCTTATCAAAACCTAATGGTTAAGGTTTGCTTTATCATAAATACATTTTCCATAGTGGGAAGTCAATGCAACAAAAGTCAGCACAAGTTTCATTACTGAGATTCCAATCTTTTAGTTTTAATACTTTTTGTATCCACTTTAATATTTGGTGAATGACTCAGTCCTCCTCAGCCTGCAGCATACCAGTGCGTTGCACAAATTCTAGGAAAAATTATTTTTGCTGCTCTTTGCCGGGAGTGTTGTGTTGCTCTGAACAAAAATCTCCAAAGGTGTGACATACTTGTCCCTGTCATAGTTTTCACTGTTCTTCATTAGAAACGTTTGTGTGATTTTGGCAGTGTGCTTTGGGGGGTTATCATGCAGGAATATTCCTCTTCTGTCAAGCTTTTGCAACCTGGGAGTCATCTCGTAAGCCAGCATTTTAGCATATCCACAGGCATTTGTGGTTCCGTCTATAAATGTCATCATGCCAACGCTTTTTAGACTCACGCAGCACCAACTCATCACACTCCCACTAATGTGCTTCACTTTCAGGACTATGCATTCACTGTGGTAGTCTTGACATGCTGGACCTCATCTGAGATGGACAAATTTATATTTGTCTCATCTGACCAGAGGATAGGCTCCCAATATTTTTCAGATTTCTGTTCATGTCTTTTAAGAAAGTTTTTCCTTTGTTTTTAACAGCAAGGGTGATTTTCTTGGATGCTGTCCATAGAGGCTGACATTATGTGCTGTTCTTCACGCTGTCTTTTTTTCTGAAGGGGATTGTACAAGTAACATACTGTTTATCGTGTCATTTTAGAAGGACAGCTACTGCTCCAAATTGCTGGCAATCCCTCCAAAGATCTGCAGTGACATTTTACCTAAAATATCATTTTCATGATGACACAAGAGAATAAACAAAAGTGAGGAAGTGGATGGCCAGGCTAACTAAAATCTAATGAAGTTGTGTTTTTTCACAGTGCTCTGAGGCTGATTTCTAATATTTCCAACCATTTCTGTAACTTTATTGGCAGT